TATATTTTACCGTACAATTTTTTTTTTTTTTTTGTTGGGTTTTTTTTTTTTTTTTTTTTTCGTTTATTTTTTATTTTATTTGACTGACGCTTTCTTTTTTTTCTTTATTTTTTTCCTTTTTTTTTTTTTTGAATTTCTATTTAATAGGTAGGCAAGACCCTTCATCTTTTTTCTGTCATCTTTGGTTGTTTCAAAGGTGCTAGTGACCGTTAGTGGTGTTTTCAGATTACTAGCTCTAACCGAAAATTATTAGTGGTCCCCCGGTGTTCCGCCACTTGTATTCCCTGTCCATAAAAAAACACGCTTCTAGAAAAAGAAGCTTTTTGGAAGCGAGATCATCGTTATCAAAATTTCTTCTGAGATCACAACGCAACACAAAGACGGTTAAAGTAAGTAACGGTATTTTATGCTTGCGCATTGTCCTTGAAGAAGAAAATTATAGAAAATAAAATTTTACTGACAGGAAAGAATTTCATATAAGTCAGATACTGTAGTTTGAAAAAGTACTGGTAGTAGTAGATTTCAATACATTTAGTCTATCGTTTCATAAGACAGTAACTTCTGATCACTATAGGAAATATAGTACGGGAAACTATTTTGGGTCACATATTGGGAATATAAGAAGCCGAAGCAATCATCAGCATAAAAAGTTTAGATACTCAAAAACGCAGCGGATTGTAAAAGATGACTTCACCATCCAATTTTATTTCCCCGATCCCAACTAAATCTTATGAACCAAATCTCATAAATACGATGGTACCGTCCCCTCGGACAAATGAGAAAAAAGTGCCTGCTTTGGAAGAATTGATCGACCTTTGTTATAGGCTCAATTCTAAGGTGATTGCTAACAATCACTATACATTAAATCACGATAATTTGGACTATGACGAACTTTTGGTGTACCAGTTTGAACGATACGTTATCGAATTGCATTGTCAAGAAAACTTAAGATTCTTAATCGAGATATTTAAGTATGAACATCTCTACGATTCGATATTTCCTGACAACGATAACTTAAGATTGAATACTCCATCCCCCAGGCCCGCTGCATTTAGCAATAGTTTGAATGCTTTGAATGGAAGGCTAACAAGGGAAGCGACACCTGTGGGAAGCATAGGTCACGCACCTATAGGACTGAGTCGAGCCGGTAGTCTCAAGTCCATGAATACGGTCGATAATGAGCCTGCTCTGGTGTTTGCCCTGACAATCGACGATTTAAACGACGTAAAGGAAGCAAACACTAACATTTGGGATGAATTGATGGAAAGAGAATTGCATAACCAAGAGAGAGACCTGGACTCCTCGGACGACGAAGTCGATTCTTCTATCATCAACTCCGATGTATCGGCTGTACCTCTTGATAAAGACCTGTTTCACTCTCCTAAATTAGTGGAAGAGCGTGAGAAGCTAACTCGTCAATGGGATCACATCATAAAAAGATATATTATAGAAGATGCATCAGAACAAATTAACTTATCGAATAATGCTTATACAGAGATCATGAATGAGAATGAGAGTGTGACTAATTATCACAGCCCTAACGCTATGTGGAGAGCTAAGAATGAAGTCTTGCAGTTAATCAAAGAGAACGCATACGTATCATTTTGTAAGAGAATTCAAAAGAAGGACCCTTCTGAGAGGTGCGAGGCATTGGGCATACAATGTAGGCCCGGTTCGTGTGCACAAGATGGCGAAAAGGCCATACACCCGTCATTGACCCCGTTAATAAATGGGAATGAATCTGACATAGGTATGTCTCTACCCAAAGCAGTAACAACAGCTATGAGATCAGCTATCAACACCCCATTGTCTCGTTCGCCACAGCACGCATCTCCAGCCATCACTCCAGTGAGTTCCAATAGTGGATTAAATCACTCAGATTCTTTAAAAGTGAGAAACAAAGGAAAGGCCCAAGGCAGACTTAGACAACTTGCATCACCCATAACAACATCACTTTCATCGTCTGGCTCTGCTTCACCTTCCTCACTTTCAGCATTTTTGGGGCACCTCAAGATTAACTCTGGAAGTGGAGGTTCAACAACTTCCAATTCGAATGAATTTCATGGTACGGAAAGCATCACACCCTCACAAAACAGTTCGGTGAGTACGAGTCCTGTATTAATTAAAAAGACGTTGACCAATGAGCTCCAAGCAGAAGAAACTGGTAAGCGTAAGCTCAGGCTCTGGAAAAATAAGCATAATAAGTAATTAGGAAAATATTGCAAGAAGGAGGAAGGAGGTTTTATAGAAGTTTGCATACAATTATATTTAGGGAACGGTAATAGATAGAGCATATAATTATTAGAAAGGAAGTGTAGAGAAATACAGATGTCAATACTGAAAGCGCAGTTTTCGTTAGTCAGAAGTGAGTTATCAGAGATTCCTGGATCTAGGTATCTGTAATATCATTTGCTTTACTACTGAAGTATTGTCTGTAAGAAATTTGAGACATAACATACTGGGCACTAGACTTCGAATATGTGCGATCGGCAGAATACTCTCTTGTCTAAGCGGGCTGCATTACAAGCGCAGAACAAGTTATCTTGCAAAAATACCCGATGATTGGAGCCATATTGAAATTCCACAGTTTTTTTGCTTTCCACATCAAGTAACCCTTCTTTGTATACGCATCACGTACAAGTACACTTGGGTGATTAACTAAGTTGCACAAGTGTTCTGGTGCTTTGGTTTCCATAGTTCTAGCTCATCGCAAATGAGCCACATTTCTCCGCAATTCAAAATGGAGCTCAATTTAGCACTAATTTGTCTACACCAAAAGTAGTATTTCATTATATACAGCACTAGTATCCGCCTTCAAAATGAACCACAAGACATAAACTAGTTTTCTATCCGAGAATCCAGATCCAGAACTAAATGTGTATCGCCTTTCTTCATATATGACACTTCCTTCCCTTCCGATGCTTGCTGCTTAATTACTTGCATAATTTTTCCTGTCACACATTTTAGTGCGACCATAACAAATAAACTCCTGATAAGGAACTGTTGCAAGGAGATAAGGATATTTATAGTCACCTAAGTATTATTATACTGTTTTTCCTGTTTATTATCACAGAGTATGTCGGAAGGAAATACCCCATCTGAGGACCGCTTGGAGCCTTACATTTCAGCCGATCTTCCTGAGTATATTGTCAAGAATCTCACTCCCTTAAAAAAGAAAGAGAAGAGATTGAGAAGAAACTCTGATGAATCCAATAAACAACTCGAACGGAAGAGAGGATTTTTGGAATCCAAAAGGTCCAAATTGCAAGAAAGGTCAAACTTGATCTTACAGAAAGTACGCGAGGTGGAGCTCAGAAGGCAACTTTTCTCAAGATCACTCAGGAATAACTTGAATCGGAATCTAGAGTTAGCAAGTGAGAGAAGGAAAGCAGCGATCGAAGCTAGAAAGACTAATGCCAGACGGTACCTGGCTTTATTTGGATACGAGAATTCTAATTTTCAGCTCCAAAAGAAGAAAATTGCTGATCCATGTAATGTAGAAGTGAGTGAATCCACCGTACTCCTCGATTTCAAGGACCAGGAGCTGCAGATCATATCCCAGCCCACTGTTGATCAAAAAGCTAGTCTGGTTAAGGATATCGATCCACCTCCTCTCAAGCAGGTTCTTGTTATTCAAAAGGCTATTAGGCGGAGGCTTCTCATTTCCAAAGTTAAACAATTACGAGACTCTAATCTTTTATTTATAATATCACGTAGATCCTCGGACAATTTGAAGAAGTTACTATCTCCAAACATGTCTTCTTTCAGCAAGATTTACGAAGTTCTTGAACTTTTTAAATTGCCTGGCTCTTACAGACTGTTCATTTACTCGCTAATATTGATGGCGGAATTCAGGGACTCGATTAGTGAGTCAGTTCCACATCCAGGTTACAACACTAATTTATACAAGGAAGAGGAAAATGATAAAGAAGATAAGTTTGCTCGAATGATTTCGATAATAGTATACAAAGCATCGTATATATTGTCAAAGGCATTCATCAAACTTATTCACAGGTCAGATTGGGACTCTTTATTGAGCCCCTATAGTATTGAAAGATTGAAATTTGCTCACGTTTGGAAACAATTTCATTTCTACTTCGACATATTCCGTCCTAACCATCTCAGGCGCACTATAAAGTCATCTTCAATAGCTATTGAAATATTCGACTCCAAGATAGCATCTTTTGTTGACGGAATTGAAGATGAATCGGTTCTTTCAACAGTGAAAGAGGATAGAGATTGGTTAGAAGGTAAGCGCAATAAACTTATTCAGAAGCTTAATTATTTGTATGATGAAGCAGAAGTTCATGAAGTTGTGTCTCCATGGACTCAAGCGGCCCCTGGCATCATAGGATATGATGAGATTCGCCAACTGATTAGTTCGGCTATTGAAAATTGTTCACAAAGGCCATCTTCCCTTGATTTATCTGCGACTCAACAAGCTCTTGCTGAATTGAATTTGAATTTAGTAAACAAGAAAGCTTTACCTTCTGGCCTTAGATATCCAAATACTCACATAATAAAGGTAAACAATAGAACATACTATTTCCCTCCATTCATAACTATTAACCAGTGGAGTAAATACATTGTTGAGAAGCATTTAAATAGACCAATTGATAAATTGGAAACATATGGCATTCCTAAAGTATTGAAAACTGGTTTTATTTCTAAGAAATCCTCACTGCAGTTTGTAGCTGAGAATCATCCACTCCACATTGAAGATGTTTTCAAATTTTTCAACTTGGAAACAATATTCGACAAAGTATCAAATTTTATTAATGGGATCGAAGGGCGTGAAGCTGAAGAGAACATTTCAAAGCTTGATGACTTCCTAACCAATGCATTTTTAAATATATTTGAATATTGTATGCAATTCCATGATTTGTTGAAAAGTAATTCTTACGAAGTTATTACTTCGTTATTGACAAAAGTGCGTCTATTTAGATGTATGCCTAGCTTAAGGCAGACTTTGGCTCGTGGAAGACTGGTCATTAGGTTTTTTGAATTGCATTTCATGTCTTTACTGAGTTTGGCTAACGTTGCGCCTCCTAGTTTAGGATTTCTCCCTAGTCGATGTACAGACTTTTTAGACTTATTAAAGTTGCTTCAAGACGACTCTCAATTTACTAATGAGCATATGATTGATATAGTACTTTTCTATCAAGGAACTGACATTATAATTCATGATTTATGGCTAAGAAGGTGTTACTCCAGCTATGAAAATGACATCTCTGGCTTTGCTTCAGCAATGTGTTTGGCATCTTCATATTATGGACCACAGGTATACCACGTAAACAGAAGTACTAATTCACCACACTTACGATATCCTAAGTTTTATGAATTTATGTACCAGAATGATTCTACTTTTGGAACTAAAATTGGATCCAATTTCGTAGCTTTATATAAAGCGTCGAACAGTATCCCTTCGTTGGAAGTAAACATGGGCCAGTCGAGCAACGTTAATTCTAGTGAGTATTTTCAAAAGATATTTGCTTCGTTCCTCGTATCAGATAACAAATATTCAATAGCATCGTCAATGTCAAAAAAGTCTTGTGAAAATGAGTTAACAAAGCTTTTCATCCAGGAATTGAAGAGCTTAATTATAGAAAGTCGTTCCGTTTTGATTTCAGGGATAGTGTTGGCAATTGTTGGACAAGTTTATTCGCAGGTCCAAGTGGTTGGAAATGCATGTAATAGAAGTACTTTGAACCATTATATGAAAGGTGTCGGCGAAAAACTCTTCAAGTACGTGAAATTGTGTTTAGAGAAGGAATCTTGCTCTCTTCAAATGAGTGAAATATTCCAATTGATTACATCTACAATATTGGCAAATTTGCAAGATTATATAGAGGCCGATAGTAGCTCAATTGAATTTCATGAGAAGTTTCTAGTTACTTACCTTGCTAAAGTTATTGGAACAGCATCGACGGGGAGTAGTGTTGTTGCTCGTACATTGCGGGAGAAGTTGGTTAAAGTATTGAGTGAAAGAAGCGAGCCAACCAGACTAATAAGAGGCAACTTCATTCACCTATATAATGAAACTTTGAACTTGAAGAAGTCATACGAGGCATTTTTCAAAGGTTTTTATGGTTTATACTTCCCTATCTTGAATTGGATATACGAAGACATTGGCACACCAGTCATATGATAATATATAATTTTAATCTTAATTTTTGTTTAGCTAGAATATAATGATAAGAAAACTCAGAAATAAAAGGAGCATATAAACGGAAAAAGTCAGATAATCGCAGTTTGGTCGAAGCTTAAGACTAAGAGCAATAGAGTGCACATCTCAGTCACCTAGTAAGCTAGAGCACTGTAAGGCGTACTGGGGGTGCTCTTGATAGTGCAGCATCTTGCTCGTAGTGGGTGCAAAATTTGATGAGTGTGATGTCGGTTTTGTGTAACAATATTCCCATATTCAGCCATACTCGATGCGCCTGCACCAAGATAAGATGTACGGTGCAATAGAGGGTAGGAGGAACAAATGTGTGAAATAAGCAAAAGCAGGCGCAAGTAGAAGCATTACGAAAAGGCAAAGAGAGCTGTTGCTATTCAGGAAATTTCATAATTCTTTAATTTATTCCTGCACGCTTTTATCAGCAGGTATGAATCTTCTACAAACACAACAAATTCCAGTCTTCAGACATTCTGGGGCATACTACTATGGGGTGTGCAATGTAACAGACTACACCTTTCTACTACCACCTTCACACTTTTGACGCTGTCCAGCATTTCTGTGAAAATTTTTCAACCCAAATCACCTTACCCGTTTAAAGGTTCATGGTCACCTTCTAGACTACCCCATTGCAATGAAAAATTTTCATATTTTAATTAGCACCGGTATTATATTTCTTTTTTTTTTTTTTTTTTTTTTTTTTTTTTCCATGGTTGCAGCTGATCTTAGACCGCGCTTAATTTTTTCCTTACTCCATTCGTGGCCCTTCATTGGCTGATACCTATTGACTCATAGTAAAAATCTCAACTTCACCACTAATTTGCACACAAGAAATCGTGATACAGGGCGGCCTGCGCATAATGTGCAGAAAATTCCTGTATACGGGCAAGAACACAGTATCAGTGAATTTATAACCATCTCCATATAAAATTTTTCACAGTTACCTTTTTTTTCTTCTAGTTTAGCATTCATTTCTTCTTTAATTAAATCAATAACAATGTTAAGAAATACTACTGGGTCTATCGGAGGGTTGGCAGCCAAAAAGGCAGCTTCTTCAGTCAGATCTGTTGGAAAGAAAGTATTAACCAGCAATGCTAGTAAGTTAGCAGCCACAACTGCTGCTCGTTGTAACTCTACCAAGGCCAACAATACCTCTTCTGCCAGTATTTCCAGTGCTAGTGCCAGATCCTACTCTACCAGATCCACCGTTGTCCAATTGCTTAACAACATTGGGTCTAAGAGAGAAGTTGAACAGTACCTTAAGTACTTCACTTCTGTGTCGTCCCAACAGTTCGCCGTGATCAAGGTTGGTGGTGCTATCATTACACAGCAGTTGCCTGAATTGGCTTCTTGTTTAGCATTCCTCTACCATGTTGGTTTGTACCCTATTGTTCTCCACGGTACCGGACCTCAAATCAACGAACTTTTGGAAAACGAAGGTGTTGAGCCTGAGTATATTGATGGGATCAGAATCACTGATGCTAAGACCATGGAAGTGGTTAGAAAATGTTTCCTTGAACAAAACCTTAGATTGGTCACTGCTTTGGAGAAGATGGGTGTTCATGCTAGACCAATAACTGCTGGTGTATTCGGTGCTGAATACTTGGACAAAGACAAGTACCAGTTGGTTGGAAAAGTGAACTCTGTTAACAAGGCTCCAATCGAAGCTTCCATTGAAGCTGGATACTTGCCAATCTTGACTTCTTTGGCTGAGACTCCATCTGGTCAGTTATTGAATGTCAATGCGGATGTCGCTGCTGGTGAATTAGCCAGAGAATTCGAACCATTAAAGATCGTCTACTTGAATGAGAAGGGTGGAATTATTAACGGTAACACCGGTGAAAAGGTCAGTGTTATCAACTTAGATGAAGAATACGAAGATTTATTAAAGGAGAGCTGGGTTAAGTATGGTACCAAGTTGAAGATCAAGGAAATTCACGATTTGTTACAACATTTACCAAGATCCTCTTCAGTTGCCATCATTGATGTTGACGACTTACAAAAGGAATTATTCACTGATTCTGGTGCTGGTACCTTAATCAGAAGGGGTTACAAGTTAATAAACCGTAATTCTTTGAAGGAGTTCGGTAACCCAGACTTATTAAGACTGGCTTTATTGAGAGACCCAGAAATCAAGAGTGGTAAACTCTCTGCTGCTTCATACTTGAAGACTTTGGAAAAGATCCCCTTCAAGAGTTATGGTGATGAACCATTGGAAGTTTTAGCCATCGTGATTAACGATGAAGCTAATAACCAATTACCTAAATTGGATAAGTTCTTATCATCTAGGACCGGTTGGCTCAATAATGTCACCGACAACATTTTCAGTTCAATCAAGAAAGATTTCAAAGAATTGTATTGGATTGTCAATGAAAACGATTCTAACTTATCATGGTATTTCTCCAAGGCTGATGGATCCTTCGCTAAGAATGGTGAAATTCTTTTCTGGTACGGATTGAAAACTAACCAAGTTTCTGAATTGATTAAGGAGTTTGACACTTCTTCAAACTTTAACTCTAGTCTGTTAAGCTCTTCAAAGGAATCAGGTGTATTTTCCTCTCCAACTCAAAAGAGAGGACTTCACACTTACAACAACCATTTCAAGAGCCAATTTTATCACGCCCGTCGTCAAATTACCACCAACCCAAATCCACCAAAGCGTGAAAGTACCAACAACCAAAAGTTGAAAGTTGCATTGATTGGTGCAAGAGGTTACACTGGACAAAACTTGATTTCTATGATCGACAAGCATCCTTACTTGGAATTATCTCACGTCTCATCTAGAGAATTGAGTGGCCAAAAATTACAAGGTTACAACAAGGACAATATTGTCTACAGCAACTTGCAAGTAGAAGATATTAAAGAATTGGAATCTAATGGAGAAGTTGATGTCTGGGTTATGGCATTACCAAATGGTGTCTGTAAACCATTTGTTGACGCTATAGATTCTGTTGGAGGTACCAAATCTAAGATAATTGATTTATCAGCAGACTACAGATTTGATACTACAGGCGAATGGGTTTACGGATTACCAGAATTGAACGACCGTAATGAAATCGCTAAGGCCAGAAAAATTTCCAATCCAGGTTGTTACGCAACCGGTGCTCAAGTTGCCATTGCCCCATTAGTTGACTACATAGCAGGAACTCCTACCATTTTCGGTGTTTCTGGTTACTCTGGAGCTGGTACCAAACCATCACCAAAGAACAATGTCAAGATATTAAACAACAACCTTATTCCATACTCATTAACTGATCACATCCACGAGAAGGAAATTAGTTCCCAATTAGGATTGGACGTTGCGTTCACTCCACACGTTGCTCAATGGTTCCAGGGTATTTCCCACACCATTTCCATCCCAATCAAGCCGAAATCATTAACTTCTAGAGAAATCAGAAACCTTTACCAAGATAGATACCAAGGAGAACAGCTTATCAGCGTAAGTGGTGAAGCACCATTGGTCAAGGATATCAGTGGTAAACATGGTGTAGTTATTGGAGGATTTGCACTCAACTCCAAGGAAAATAGAGTTGTCGTTGTCGCCACTATTGATAACTTATTGAAGGGTGCATCCACTCAATGTTTACAGAACATTAATCTTGCTTTGGGATACGGAGAATACGATGGTATTCCAGATGACTTATTTATTAGAGGTTAGAGCAAAATAGTCATCAGCTCCTATAACTACCAACAAAGACAAAACTAAAAAAACTAAAAAAAAGCACTAAGAGAAAATTAAATATAACATTCAACAATGAATCAAAAGGAAGATGTCGATAAGATATCAAAATAAATGAGAGAGATACAGTAACCCATTTAAACGTAGTCCATGTAGTAGCTTGTCTGCCATTCGACAAGGTGCTGCACAATGGTGATATACATGTCCTGCACATAACCCCAATATGGAAATTTGATTTGAAAGGTCCCGTCTTTTATAAATTGGACTCAATGGTTTCAGGTCGAAGTAGAACAGCGTAATTGTACCATAATCGATGTTGGTTCCACCTGATAACTTCGGTGTAGTCGAGGAAGGCATCTATAGATGTTCCAAGCTCGAATCGGATCATTTTCCGTTTCTAGAAACGTTGAAATTGAAGTCTCTAATTGTGTTGGATGCCGAGAAGCCTCCAAGACTATTGAAGACATTCATAGAGAGCAATAACATTGAACTATACAACTTAGGAGGGTTGAAGATATCGAACCACTACCATACTGGAGCAAATTCCAGCTTGGGGAAAGATGATGACGATGGAGATGATGTGAGTTCAATACATAGCAACAGAAGGATAAGTAGCTCAAACACAAACGAAATTGAGTTGATAAATATCGGAGACACAACCACAGGTGGTAGCAATGGTGATTCAGATAAGAAGAAAAACGATCAATGGATGTTAATAGAAAAGAACCTTATCCTCAGAGCATTTGAATTGCTTCTCAATAAGAACAGGCATAATTTGCTTCTTGTGGATTCGACACTGACCTTGGTGGGGATCCTTAGGAAGATACAAAAGTGGAATTTCAATTCCATAGTGAATGAGTATAGGATATATACCGGAGCACCAAGCAAGAGCAATTACTATGCAGAGAATTTCCTTGAGTTAATACAGCCTGAGTTGATTCCATTCGAGATAGAGCAGTTGAATAAAAGACAACAGGAACAGAGCAATGTCAACAACAATATAAGCAACGGAAATAGACCTTCGATACTGACTCTGCCACGAAATATTGGGATACCTTCGCCAAGGAATGAAACTTTGAGAGATTCTCTGATGGGAAACTACTTTGGCCATCAAATACTGTATGAACCTACATTTATTGAGCTAGACGATGACGTTGACGTTGACGAAGACGATGAGCTCACAGACGACGACTTACTTTCTGCATCTCCACAAATTCCTGCCAACTTGTTGAAACTCGTAGAAAAGAGAAAGAACGAAAAAGCCAATAGATCGAACCTGAATGAAAGTGAGGATATGGACAAGCTTGGCAGCGGCTCATCCGCAAGTGGTGGTAGAAGGAGGATAACCCCTGGATCTTCCCCTAAACTCCACTCCTCGTTGAAGCGTAATAGTATAACGAATGAGATGTTCTTCTCCACAGCACTAGGAGGACGTAGAAGATCATCTGTGGATGCTAAGTTGCGGCCCATCAACAGTACCAACAATACGAAATTCAGAAGTGGATCCAATATTGGGATTGGCTCCTTTTCAGAAGCAACGCTTCCATCATCTTTTCCTGGAGTTAGAAGACTTTCCAAAGGTAAGAATGATCCGACGTATGCAAACTTTGAAAACTTGAGCTTGCAGGAAATACAGAACATTCGAGAGAAGTACGATTTCAAATTCTACAAGAACTTACATAAATACACCATCAAGTATGAAAACGTAAACGTTATAAAGATAAAGCTACCTCCAGATGAGAAATTACCCTCTTGGTTTATCAAGAATCGTGATTTTTGGGAATCAAGTTTCAGGAAGATGAATCATATAGTATAGACTAAATAAATGTCAACTTATTAGGCAGAAAGGAATGATACTTCACTTATAATGCGCCACAACGTCTTCTCTTAGCATACTCTAGCGTTTCCAATTATTTGTTTGCTTCTCTGGACTACTCCACCGACTATCTGCTTCCCCAAGTTGCTCTCGTCGATCCAGAACCTGCTGAATTAGTACCAGAGCCAGAAGTGGGCCTGCTGCCTGAAGGAGACGAGGGCTGATAATTAGAATTTAACATCTTTTCACGTAACCGGCCACCGGTATTGGTTCTTCCTAAAGTTGGCCTACTCTGAGTAGAAGGTTGGGAGTTGTATCCGGAACCTGGGATGGACTGATGTCTAGACTTATTGTACATGTCCTGAAGTCTGGAGGATGATCTTGGGGTGTAAGATGATTGTTGGGGTGGCAGCTGCTGTTCTTGGTACTGGTTTGGTTGTTGTTGCTGTTGGAAATGTTGTTGTTGTTGTTGTTGTTGTTGTTGGTATTGGTGTTGGTGCTGTTGTTGTTGTTGTTGTTGTTGCTGTTGTCCACTGTTTCTGCTATTGTACACAGGTTGATACTGTGAGTTGGAGTAATTGTTATTAGCTTGGTAGCCGTTTCCTCTCTGAGCAGCCAGCTGGCTGCTATTCTGTATTCTGGTCTCTCCTAGCCAATCTGGAAACCTTTCACCCCGAGCCTCAAAGTACTTCACAAATGCATTGTGGATTAACGTATCGTTTTCCGTGCTTCCGTCTTTTTCAGTGTTTGCCGAGAGCGATAAGTTGGAAAACTTGGTCGTGAACTTGATTTTAGATAGCAAGTTTCTCAGCTCACCATTAACTGATGTCATCTTACGAGAGCCTATCGTTTAAACCTACAATTCAAGCAAAGGAATAGTGACTTGTCATCAACTTCCTTCGATCTTGAATCTTCTTTCCCATACTTCGTTTTTCCACTATTGCCTAATTGGGCTACCCCTACATCGAAAGGTAAATGTGCAAGTGACCTGCATATAACCCAAACATGGATAATTTTTCGCATATCCATCTCTCGTGGTGAAGAGATCAGATGCCTTTGTAAACCCAGTTAGAGGTACAGGTTATAGGCATATTTTTCTAGCATCTGATCCATATTTAGTATATAATGTTGATTAGAAGATTAGGAAATGGGATTCGTGCAATTTCCAGGACTGGTTTGGTCTCTGGAACTGCACTTCTCAGACAGCAGCGAGTAAACTCTCTTCGAAGACTCCAAGTGAGCTCCATCGCACACCAGGAGCCTAAGATGGGAAGTACCAAGACCATGAATTCTTCAATAAATGCAGAAGTTGCTGAAACACAGGAAGAAAATGCATCAAAGACAGAAGGTTCAGACGTTTCCGAAAATAAGATTCCTGATGTCACCCCAGAGTCGCTCTTTAAAGATGGCATCCTCGAAAAAGATCTCTACAGAGCCATCACCAAGGCAGGCTTCAAGACATTCACGAAAGTTCAGAAAGAAACCATCGGACCAGCCATGAGCACCACCAAGGGTTTGGTATGTCGTGCTAAGACAGGTACTGGTAAGACGTTGGCATTTGGTATCCCATCTCTTCAGCATGCCTATGAAAATATTAACACCCCTAGAAAAGTTCAGTCTCTTATCATCACTCCTACCAGAGACTTGGCGCTTCAAATCGAAGCAGAATTAAACAAAATTATCGCAAGTTTCCCCGATAGATCAGTCAGCAGAAAGTTGACGGTTGCTACCCACATTGGTGGAACTAGGCAGAACAATTTGAGCCCCAAGTTCACTCCAAAGATAATCATCGCTACTCCTGGTAGATTGAATGCTAACTTGGAAAACTCTCACTTCTTGGAAGCTTTCAGTGAATTGAAATTTAGAGTGTATGATGAAGCTGATAGATTGTTGGACATTGGATTTACCGAAGAGTTGTACAATATTGATTCTAAGTTGCGTGAAGCAACTGAAAGTCAAGGTAATGACTCCCAATTTAGCTCTCTCTTATTCAGTGCTACTGTTGATGATAGTGTTACCAAATTTGCCACAAATGTTTTCGGTAGAGGATACCAATACATTGACTGTGTCGATAAGGACGAGGGTGAAGCCCATCACTTGGTGGAACAAACGTTGGTACAAACTAAATCTCTCGCAGATTCATACATCGGGTTGTTAAACTTTGTAACTGAAAACTTACAGAAGAAGGATTTCAAGGCTATTTTGTTCCTTCCTACAACTGTAAGTGTGGATTTCACTAACGACTTATTGAGAGCTTATTTCAGTGCACAAAAGAAGTCTAGTTTATCCAGAAGTATCTTAATGTTACATGGTAAGAAATCTCAAAGTTACAGAGATAGAGTTGTCAGAAGCTTCAAGCTGGCACGTAGTGGGTTATTAATTACTACAGATGTTGCTGCAAGAGGTTTGGACTTCAAGGATGTTACCGATGTCATCCAAATCCTGCCTTCGCTGACCCCTGCAGATTATATCCATAAGATTGGTAGAACTGCAAGAGCTGGTAAATCAGGAAAGTCCATTTTATTTTTATCTGGCGAAGAGTTGAAATATGTTAAGATATTGAAGGATAACAGAAAAATTGAATTCAAGAACGTTTACGATTATCAACCTAATGAAGATTTCCACAATGAGATCAAAGAAATCCTGACCGACAAGTTCGAAGCATTCGATGTGGAAGATTTTGTTAAAGGTTATATGACATATATTGCAAATATCAAGAGTAAATACCGCCTCAGACACGCCTCGTTGATTCAAGAACTTGCAGATTTACACAGAATTTTGATAGGCGATGAACTGGCTTTTATTAATGTTGATGAAAAGTTTGTCAAAGCCCATTTGAGCTTACAAAACGAGGATGCTGCTACTATTTTTAACCATAAGAGAAGATTCAACGATAAGCCATCATTCAATAGGGGATTTAAGAAGAGATTCAGCAATGACAGGTTCAGTAATGACAGATATGACAATAGTAGGAAATTTGACAAGAGAGGAAAATCTGACAACTTTTTTGACAGAGATTTTAACAATTCTTACGCTGGGTCTTCATACGGAGATAGAGGCAACAACAGGAAATCTTCATATTCGAAAAACAACAATTCTTACAAAAGAAATGACCGTAATGATCGTTATTAGTCGATTTCAAAATACCTAATTATTTAAGCAGGATGGGTTTCAATTTATTGTACAAAGTTTTATTTATAAATTATTTTATCATCAATACAGGTGTGTATTGAGGAGTTACATGTATATAGTTCGTTTAAATCTGTGTTTGATTATAGATGAATATAAGAATTCAAAAGTAGTAAGTTTAATTTAGTTTTTTTTGTACCTAATATTTCTTCTTCTTTTTCAGATTAGATTCCTTATGTGTGGATAACCTACTGAAACCATCTCTTGTTAAATGAATCCTTTTAGCATTCAGTCGAGCAGTGGGATTCTCCGATTCCTGCGGAGCTATGTAGATTTCCTTGACCAAAATGATGTATACCACCAATATAAGAATTATTATTGAATTGAATAGTGCTAATCTCTTTTGGAACCTTAGTTCATTACCCAATACTATGATCTTATTACTCATGTCTTCTAACATATTAAGATTTTTCTTTTCTATCTGCTTCACGACATTAGATGTTTCATGTTGAGTGTTGATATACGCATCTCTAAAGAAATTTAACTGATTTGTCATTGTGGAAATCAAATTATCTATCAAGGATTGGAAGTTGGTCGACTGTCGTCTTTCTAATTTAGAAAATGCCGTTGAAAGTAGCTTACTTTGCTCTTCAATGTAAAGCAATGATATACTTGCATTCGCCTCTAATAGGGATAACCTCTTCATTATGTTTTTGTAAATGGATTCCTGAGTTGTCTTCACCTCTATTGAAGCTGAAGTTGATGCAGAGGAAGAAGGTGACACAGGAGACTGTGTTGAAGATGAAACTTCTGTTCCCAGCAGCGGTGACGATACTACCGTTTCGTTCTCCAAGGCATAGCAAAAGTCTTCGATTTCAGTTGTATTTACGTCATTTAGAAATTCGATCAACCCCAAATGAGGAAGTACTACAGCACATTCTTCACTAGTGTTCGGAGTCAGAATATTTCTGAATTGCTCTACATTGAGCTCAAGTTCATGCTGTTCCTGTTGTAACCTTTGAACTTCTTCTTGCTCCTGTAGCTCTCTTTGTTTCTGTAGCTGAAGCTGTTGTAGTTGCTGCTGTTCTTCTTCTTCGGCCATTTTGAATTCCTCCATCATCGTCTTACCGTGAACCCTCACAACTGATAACGGACAGTAAAATTCATCACCGTAGTGCGATAAGATTTCTATTTTTAAGTACCTTGACCAAATCAATGGATTTTCAATGCTAAAGGTTTGAAGATCTCTTATGTTTTGAGCTTCAAAGTGACCCAATACTTCCCAAGACTGTGTAGGGAATCTATCGGAAACACTGAATTTAATATTCTTAAACATTGATGAAAAGAATTCAAAGTTTCCCAAAACAACCGAGTCTACTAATATATCTTGACAGAGCTCTATGACCACGAACTTATTTAATATGGAACATTGATTTAGGAGATATGTATCCTTATTTTCGACCAAGATCGCCGAAGCTCCCTTGGCATTGTTGTTCGTTTTGACGATAGTAGCAGCACAGTCGCTAGATGCATAATTGAACTTATCCTTGTAGACCTTTCCCAGATCAATTTCAAAAGCATCATCTGCTTCAGGAACCTGCGAAGATTCCAAACTGACAATAGACAGGGTAGATGAAGTAGCCACTGGTGAGGCAGATTCTGTTGAAGTAGATGAACTTGAAGAAGCCATTGAACTAGTAGACTCCTCAATTTCTAATTCGGTTTCTAGAGTATAGGTGGAGGACGAGGATGAAGGTGAAAATTTTGAGTCCTCCGATGAACTTTCAGTATAGTCTAGTACCAGAAGTAAGGACGATAGCTGTGGTGACAACGATGTGGAGTCCGATGAGGAGAGCGTCGACAGTGGAGAATCTGTCTGAGGCGAGTGGGGATTCAGTAGCGGGGCAGAATCAGACACTGATGGCAAAACTGTCGCAGAAGTATTAGAAGATGCTGATGAGGAAGAAGATGACGAGGGCTCCGTGGGAAATCTCTCGTGGTCACTCTCCGCCGAAGAGGAAGCCGATGTGTATGTAGTTGTGGTAGATTCGGAAGCAGCGTCTTCCTCTTTAATCCTTTTCCATTCTTCAAACGACAAGAACAAGTCTTCCGTCGAGTTAGAGTTATTAACGTTAACCAAGTTGTTCAAGTCCGTAGCGTTGAAATTAATAATCACATCAGGCACAACAAGCGAAGATGAGGTGGTAGGTTCCGACGAAGAGCGTAGTTCTTCAATGGAAGATGGTGCTGATGTGAAGATCTCGCTCACTTGAGATTCCAGGGCTGTAATTACCTCGTCTGCTTCTTCTACTTCTACAATGGTCGGTATTTCTACAATCAACTCCGAGGTAGAAGGCTTTTCATCTGTGGTTGAGATGGGAGGAGAGAGATGAATCGATTCCGACAGCAAATGATCCGTGATTCCGACCATAGAATCGTCTTCTCCTAGGCATCTATTAGCATATAGGAGAAGTAAGGAACACCGTAGAAGCTTCATGATACAATACTGCTATAGTTACTCCTATTATGGGGTAATTACAAGCAATTGTACATTGTTTATGATCTTATCAAAATTTAATGTCCATATGCACCCACAGAAACTCCGAAAAACAAAACGCAGTTGCGAAGAAAAAAATAGTATGAGTAAAATAAGAAAAATGAAAAATTGTAAAGTGATGAGTTTGGCGATAACTCTTTTGTAGGCAAAGATGATGAAAACCTTCCCCCTTAATTCGAGAGCACAGACCACGGCGTTGAAACAGCCGAAGGAATTGTTTTCATATGCTCGTGATATAGATGGAGCATTCATATATGACGAATCCAAAGTGAAGGAGGAAAATTTATCCTACTACTACTTGCCAGACTCATCCATTGACAAGCAAATCGATTTAGGTGGTGGGTTCCAAAATTTTAAGAAGATACCCGAAGCAGAAAATTTGGGAGACTTCCCCGGACTTCTTAAGGCTATAATTAACTATGAGAAACGTGAAAATTGTAGAGTAAATGCAGACATTATAACGTTCAGAGGGTTAATGACCAAGATATTGGCTCTACCGTACAACCTTAAAGATCCCATCGATTTCAATATCGTCACCTACGATGGGCAAATTTTCATCAAAAATGATGAAGAAATTGAGTTGAGGAGAAGAACGGAACAAAAGCAAAGTAATAATAATAGTAATAGTAATAACAATAATGGCTCAGACTATCAAGAGAGATGCGAGTTTTCAGGGTATAAATTCGAGACTATATCCACGTTACCAAGACCTTGGGCAGATTGCTCCAGGCAATTGATTGAGAAGAGAAATAAAAAAATTGTAAATAACTATGAGCAGTATATTTCAGTAGTCAGGACCGGGATCGGCAAAGTTAAGGTATTGCTCGCAGGTGAAGTAGATTGTATATGGGATTTTATTCCTGAAAACGGTGGAGATGTCTTACCACACTATGTTGAATTAAAGACCAGTAGAATTTTGGAGCATCCAGGGCAGATCGTAAATTTCGAAAAAAAATTGTTCAAAACCTGGGCCCAATGCTTCCTATTGGGAATAAGGAAAGTGGTTTACGGGTTTAGAGATGACAATCTCATATTGAGAAGCGTAGAAGTGTACAAGACCGAGGAAATTCCATTATTGATTAAGAATAATCCTTTGACAGAAGCAAACAAAGAGAAAATCGTTGCAATGAATGCAGTGAAGTGGTATGGTGCAGTTTTGGAATGGCTCACTAAAGAAGTCTCTCCCACATCAAATAACGGAGCCTGGAGATTAAGTTTCGACCCTGGATCAAGATCATTCAATTTGTCGGAGTTGACAGATGCGAAAAAGGTCAGAGATGAGATCATTAGTGAAGAATTCAAGGAATGGAGAAGTGAGTTAAAGAGTAAGTTGGAGAAATAAGAAAAGGTCGAAGATCAAACAACTGAAAAAGCTGTAAGGGGATAGCAAAAATTTGGTCAGTTCCACTCAACAGGAGGATTCCATGTAGTACTCGATAAATATACATCAAGTGGAGCCAATTTCAGAATGTACTCGGCGTGTAAGTGCTAAACAATGTAGACCGATAACTCCAGCTGTGTTCGGCAGTCACAGAAGCTAAACAGTCTAGAGCTGAACACTCCAGCTCAGATTGTTATGGGTCTGCTGAACAGTAGATCCGATCGCTCCAGCTGCGATCAACAAGTAGCTGCAAAACAATGTAGATCCGAAAGCTCCATCTGAGATCAGTACGAGCTACTAAATATGGAAGCATGAAACAGCTAAAAAATATTAGCAATCTGAATGTCCCAAATAGCTCTTCTAATACGCCTATTGAACAAGCGTAACCCACGTAATTAGTGCAGCATAAGGGACCCTTTAAAAATAAATGTACAACAAATTTGAAAAAATTCGAATAATGCGCTTAAAGGTCTAAGCCAAGAGAGTGAAATATTTAAAAGTTTAGAGATTGCAAGCGATGGCACTATCAGTTCATCATCATAATACATACATACATAAATACATACATTCGAAAAATATGGGCTGATGATACACCGTTTGGCAAGAAGAATGAAACATGGTAGCAATCACTACTAGTAAAACTTGGCTGGATTTGATACATCAGTTTCTCCGTGTCCCATCGGAGATGCGAAAGTTATGCACAAGAAGTCTCAGCCTTTCTACTTCGAGAACCAAGGAATAGTTCCCTCTAGTTAATGTATACCAGCCAATTATCTTATCAATTAGTAATACGTGAACGATAAGGAGCGAATGAATTTAAGAACTGAAACATTGCTTTGTTGGCTTCCGTGGAAACCAACAATAAATGCAAGTTCTTACTTGTGAGCACTGTGTGTTCCGTTGCTTGCTTAGGAGAAGAATGCAAAAAAGCCGACCTACACGTCAACGCGATGTACCATTCTAGATCAATTGCGCTGAATAATTGAAAGAAAGGAAGCGTTAAAGCAGCAGCAACTGACTAAAACGCTATAATGCCTTCTTTCTTTTTTTTTTTTTTTTTTTTTTTCATTTTTCACTCAGTATACTTGCTAATTTGTACAAGCAAGAGATGTAATATCACACCATAGATTACTCCTTAGAACGGGCGCCCTAGCTGACCATTCTCCCCTCTTCAAGTCTCTTACAGTAGCTAAGCACACATTCGAGTGTTAACCTATAATTTCTCAAAAAGGAACGACAATAAGGAGCAGGGAGCCAATCAGTTCACCTGTAAACTCTATTACGTGAAAAATACTTTCCTGCTTCTCCACGTTTGGTGTACACCCTGCTAACTTTCCTCGGTGTCTAGGTTCTATCGGTGTGTAACCGCCGGATGCGCCACAAAACCGAAAAGAGCAAGCTAAAAATTATCTTAAAACCCTTCACATGCCGCAACCCCCCCAATAGGTGTGATCTAGCACACAAGTCAGCATTAGCAATGAGCACATCGTACATGGATTACTAAAACTACCGTCTTGTATTGGTAGGTAAATCAATATTACTCTTGGATTTAACCTGCTAAACAGCAAAGAACTAGACCTTCCTCACTTATTAATAATCGGTGCTCGTTTTTCTCCGTATCTGAATGCCAAATTTGGTCTATTCCATCTATCTGCAGAGCCTCGGCCCAATCAATGGCAGGCAGCACAGCGATTGTCAGCAAAATCCACCCATCCGCACTTATCTCGCGTCAAAAAATCAACCGATTCTCACTTAAATCTTTATTTGCGCCCCAGATCTAACATTGCCCAGGGCGCACGTCAGAAACATCCCATATACTTGCTCCCCGCCACCCCACGATTTGTAGGAATTTTTATTTCCCTTCCTATTTTTTTTTTTTTTTTTTTTTTTATTTTCCACTTACTTACTTTTGCTTAATTCAGTATATAAAGACAAGACGCTTCCCCCTGTTTGAAAAATAGGATTCGAATTTAAGATTTCCTTTCTCGCTATTCTATCAAACAAAGAATAATTGAAAGCTAGTTTTTAGTGTTCTAATAAGAAAAAGAAATAAACAGACCAAAATGGCTCCAGTATATACCAACTCCAACGGTTGCCCCATCAATGAACCATTTGCTACGCAAAGGGTAGGAAAGCACGGTCCATTGTTATTGCAAGATTTCAATTTGATCGACTCTTTAGCACACTTTGACCGTGAAAGAATTCCGGAAAGAGTTGTCCACGCTAAAGGTTCCGGTGCCTACGGTGTCTTTGAAGTTACCGATGACATCACTGATGTGTGTGGTGCCAAGTTTTTGGAATCTGTTGGAAAGAAGACCAAGATTTTTACTAGATTCTCCACTGTCGGTGGTGAAAACGGTTCCGCTGATACTGCCAGAGATCCAAGAGGGTTCTCCACCAAGTTCTACACCGAAGAAGGTAACTTAGATCTTGTTTACAACAATACCCCAGTTTTCTTCATTAGGGACCCATCTAAGTTCCCACATTTCATCCACACCCAAAAGAGAAACCCAGAAACTCACTTGAAAGATCCTAACATGTTCTGGGATTACTTGACTTCTAATGAGGAATCTGTCCACCAAGTTATGATTCTTTTCTCTGACCGTGGTACCCCAGCTTCTTACAGAGAAATGCATGGTTACTCTGGTCACACTTACAAGTGGTCTAACAAGAAGGGTGACTGGTACTACGTCCAAGTTCACTTTATCTCTGACCAAGGTTTCAAGACCTTGAATAACGAAGAAGCTGGCGAATTAGCTGGCTCTAACCCGGATTACGCCCAAGAAGACTTATTTAAGAACATTGCCAAGGGAAACAACCCATCATGGACTTGTTACATTCAAACCATGACTCAGGAACAAGCCAAGCAGGCTCCTTTCTCAGTTTTCGACTTGACCAAGGTCTGGCCAAAGAAAGACTACCCTTTGAGAAGATTTGGTAAGTTCACCTTGAACGAAAACCCAAAGAATTACTTTGCTGAAGTTGAACAAGCTGCCTTCTCTCCAGCTCACACTGTTCCATTCATGGAACCATCTGCTGATCCAGTCTTGCAATCCAGATTATTCTCATATGCTGACACCCACAGACACAGATTAGGTGTCAACTACACTCAAATACCAGTTAACTGTCCAGTTACTGGAAGAGTTTTCAACCCACACATGAGAGATGGTGCCTTCCAAGTTAATGGTAACTTAGGAGCTCATCCAAACTATTTAGCTACTGACAAGCCTGTTGAATTCCAAACCAACTTCAAGTTACAAGAAGAACAAGAAGTTTGGGAAGGTTCTGCTTGTCCATTCCACTGGAAGGCTCAACCTGAAGATTTCATCCAAGCAACCAATTTGTACAAGACTTTGGAAAGATATCCAAATGCTCAAAAGAACTTGGCCCACAATGTTGCAGTCCATGCTTCTGGAGCCAACCCAGATATCCAAGACAGAGTTATCAACTACTTTGGTAAGGTCAATGGAGAATTAGGTGCAGCCATCAAGAAGGAAATTTTGGAATTATCTCCAAGAAAGTAAATTAATTTAAGCAAGCGTTAAGTATATGAGTAACAAGTTTTTTTATTTAGTAATTAACGAAAATGACGTAATAAGAAATTATTCCTAGATTTGTAAATACGAAGAAGCAACTGTTTCCTATGTAGAGTATAAGCTCATTTAGAAGATTTCCATTTGACTGATACGAATGGTTCATTCGGCGAAGTTCAAGAAAATATCAATTTTTAAATTTTCACTGTGGGGAAGCCTCCCATAGTAAAAAGATCTACATGGCGTACTGGGAAAGGACAGTAGAATATGTCAAATTCACCATTATTTTGTGTATTACTAGTATACAGAAGTGCTCCCAATCGCTTTCTATCATACAAGGTAATATCTCTAAAGTATTATTGCATCAACTTTAGGCTCTGTTGATAGATATGTTGATATGAGAATTGTAACGAAGTAGGTATCTATAATTTTGTGGTATTGCAGGATGGACATTGACAACTAGATCCACACTTGCAAGAAGCGCCGCAACACGATTTTACCTCTGGCTTTGACGTAGCAGTAGATGTTGAGTTATTTGGTCCACACATATTGTTCTGGATATATATTAGCTTAAGTTTGTACAGGTGACTGAAATAAAAAGTATAGACATTCAAGTTACACGGTGTGATCAGAAGTGTCAGTATTTAAATGAAGTGAGATGCTCTGATCCGTTTAGAGTTTCCTGAAACAGCAAATGTTTGCGACTGATAAGCGGTTAAACCTCCTGGATTCAGTGCAGGACCAAGAAAATTGCACCGTAGCGCAAAGATCAGTCCGTCTTGAGTCACATGACCATGAGACAAAGTAGTCACGTGCCCTAATCTTTTTGTCTGACTTCATTAATGCGGGTCACGAGATCATCCTGCACTCTTTCCAGTCCAATGTTTATACCAGCATCACTCTCTATTGATTATGTAAGTTAGCTTTGCTACTTGCTTTGTTGCCCCCATGCTAATAATACCATACCTGCATAAGTATCATGATGCACGCACCGCAGCAGTTGTACCTTACTGAATGTGGGAATGGAATTATGCTGGCGACAAATTTTCCGCAGTTGTGACGTACCTCTGCCCAGCTGTACTTAATTTCATTACTGATCTAGGAAAGCAGCTCGTTTTACATTGACCACTCGGATGAACGTAACAATCGAATCCCTAATCCAAAAATAAAATTGTGGTGGGACAATTGAGTTCCGATCAGCGAAAGCTATTTTTTGCTGCTGGCTAAAAAGCTTACAGGTGTATTGAACAGAATAACACGCGGCGAGCTAGGGCTGTGGGAAGACGAGGCATCACGGGAATTTAACGATTCAAGACAGGGACCAATTTCTATTGATCTGCTCAGGAACGAACAAGCCCTGATTTATTTTTCATCAGCGTGAACTCATGCAGTTCTATGTATATACGGACTAAACTGAGCATGGAACTTTTAAGCCTTGAGACGTGAGCTGTGTGACCCATCACACTCCCAAGAGTGGCACGACACTTTTCTATGTTTTACTTATTCAAGCACGTCTCTCTTCGCAATTTGCACCTCTGACACGCTGTAAGCTCGGGGTAAACCAGATTCATTAGTTGCAAGTAGTGATTGTTTCAGATGTAAACAAAAGTCTCCCGGTAAACTATTGGCTCTACACAACCGCAATTTTGAACCCTGGATCAACCCTATCATCATGGCCAGCATAATTCCGCGGTGCATGGCTTGGTATACTTGCCTGCTAGTATTTAGAAGGCTGGTGTCAAAAAAAAGTGCACTAAAATAACTTTATTTTTAGAAAATTATGCACGAACAGCTTTCCAGTACTGCAGAGAAGCACGGATTTCGAATCAAAGTGCATTAATTTGCACCCACACATTCCGTTGTCTAAATATAACTGGATCATTACAGGGCCATGCAAGTGAATTATATAACCCAGCATGCAATTTTCACCTGTAGATTAGTATAAAAATGTGCAACAGCCCCCTTGATTTCGCTTATGAAAAAAGGAATTATTTCATCAGATCAAACAAGAATCTTTTACAAGTGACTAACCTACACACTTCGCATTTACACATACGCACTCACCCACACACACACATATATATACAAAATGAGTAATAACGCTATTGACTACGCCGTTTCCGATGTTGCTTCCTACGTTGGTGTTGCCACCTCAGCTGTCGGAGGTGCTCTTAATACTGCTGCTTCTGCTGTTGGAGGTGCTGCTAACACTGCTACTTCTGCTGTAGTTGGCGCTGCTAACACCGCTGTTTCAGGTGCTGAGGGTGCTGCATCCACTGCTGTTTCAGGTGCTAACGGTGTTGCCTCTACCGCTGAAGCTGCTTTCAACTCTGCTACCTCCGGTGCCGCCACTGCTGTTTCTGGTGCTTCCAGTGCTGCTACCAGTGCTGCTACCAGTGCTGCTAGTGGTGCATCTTCTGCACTCACAGGTTCCACCACTGCTAAGACTTCAACCACTTCTAAGGCTTCCTCCTCATCTACATCATCATCTACATCTGCGTCAACTTCCTCGTCTGCCGCTTCTGCCAGTCAATTCACTGCTGGCTCATGGAAGAAGGCTCTTGCTGTTGCTGGTGTCGTCGGTGCTTCTTTCATTCTCAATCTCGCTTAATCGCGCGATTCATTTGACTTTCGGAGGAGCTAGTACTTTCCAAAGTTGGTTTTATAGGGCATAGGAATATTAAAATTAGAAAAGAAAAAACAAAAAAAAAAAAACTGATGTGGTTCACGGTTAATAAAATACATCATTATATGTGAATAGTAATATTAAAATTATTATAAAGTTAAAAAAACATCCGTAAGTTGTAGCGCTATATTCTCTCTAGCTGTGCCTAAGCTGGCTCCTCTCCCCATCGAAGAGTTGAAAAATTCCAATAATGCATTCCTGTATATAAACCAAGCATTGCTTACCATAGAAGAGCATCAACTCTAGCATGACTTTGTACTGGCTCCTCTTATTCTCCACAGGCGATGGCTAATTTGATATCTGACAGGCCTGCAAGGCTTCAGGTAGATCCTAACTCTATAGCTGATGACGATAAGCCTCCACAAACGGGGACCAGCTTCAATATTTGGTTCTTAAAGTGGTCTGGTGGTGATAGCTCATCTAAGAATTATGTCAAGCTGAAATTTCGACTCAATGTAAAGAAGGATTCAGGATCGACAAGAGCACCTTCTAACAGCCCAATCTGCTTATTTTTTGCTCGTGGATGTTGTTATAAAGGGCCTAAATGTAATTATCAACATAGATTACCTTCTTCCACCAAGCATAGCAATATACCGACGCAGGATTGTTTTGGCAGAGATAAAACTGCAGACTATAAAGATGATATGGATGGAGTTGGGTCTTTTAACAGATACAATCGTACTTTATATGTAGGTGGTTTGAATTCAATTCTGAATAACAAGATCGAAAACGTCTTGACCAAGCATTTCCAAGAATTTGGCTCAATAGATAAGATACGTGTATTGTACGATAAAGGATGCGCTTTCATTTCTTTCAAGACCGAAGAAGAGGCACAATTTGCTAAAGAGGCGATGCAGAGCCAATCTCTTGATGATGATGAAATATTGAATATTCGTTGGGCTAGCGAAGACCCAAATCCGCATGCTCAGAGGCAAGAACAGAGAAGATTAGAGGAGAAAGCTTTAGAAACAGTTAAGCAATTGTTGAGCCAGGTAGAAGAAAAAGAGAACAAACGAAGAAAGGTGACGGTAGAAGAAGTAGAAGAAGAATACGAAGGGGAAGAAGAGTCTGTCAAATTAATATCAGCACCGCCAGCGGCGCTTCCTCAGATAGGCGCTACTGACCCTAGCTCCTCCTCCTCCTCCTCCTTCTTCAGTGGTAACTCCCTTGCAGAGTTGAAGTCAATTAGAAGAAAAATCCTACTCCCCACTCCTTCTCCTGTATTGAAGGAAAGCAAAGTTGAATTAAAAGACATGTTGGCCTACGATAGCGATGATTAGGGGCTAGGTATCATACCCTAAGAATTTGAATTACATGGGTCTTGGGTTGGTCATTTCATTTATCATTAATATTGTGGTTCTATAAGTATTTATTCTTGCAAGAGTTGGATTCTGGTTGATTCATGTTGAAGTAACCAATTTGGGCACTTTTTGTGACCCTTGGCCAAGAATTTTTTCAATTCTGGGAATACTTCCAGGTCTGAATCATCCATGATAGTGTAACTGGTACCTTTGTTACCAGCTCTTCCAGTTCTACCGATACGATGTATATATTCATCAAATTTCCTGGACATTTGGTAGTTGATAACAAGTGACACGTTTGGCACATCGATACCTCTAGCTGCAATGTCTGTCGCTATGAGGATGTTAGCTTTTTTGCTTCTGAAATTGTCGATGGCTCTCTCTCTGAACTCTTGAGATTTGGACCCATGAATCACTACACTTTTATTAAACCCATGTTGTTCCAAAAATGCTGATAGCAATTCACATATTTTTTTGTAATTGGCGAATATGATGATGGAATAGCTATTGGACTCTTGATGAGCATGGGATTTAATAAAAGATATCAATTTGGAAGTTTTGGTAGGATCTAATTCTTCAGCTGAATTCAAGTTTGCAGCAGAGTCATTGGGAGAGTTTATATATTCAAATTTCTGGTCAATATTGTCAATAGCTTCACCAACATTCCCAATATATAAATAAGCAGGATTAGACAAGTAGTTCTTCGTAATTTTCTCTATAGGTGCCGACATTGTAGCAGTAAACATTAATGTGACCCTTCTCTTAATTTTGTAAATTTCTCTTTCAACAACTTCGTTAGCAGCAGGCAAGAAAGACATTATGGATTGCAAAGACTTTTCGAATCCCATATCTATCATTTTGTCAGCCTCATCCATTATCAAGTAATGGCACCGGGATAAGTTAATGAGTCCTCTTTCCACAGAATCAATAAGTCTACCAGGTGTGGCTACGACGATATGAACACCATTCCTTAACGAATGTATGGTCTCTTCATACTGATGCCCCCCAATTATTGTCACCACGTTAAAGCCCAACTTTTCTCCAAATTTGGATGCTTCTTTGGTTATCTGAAGTGCCAATTCTCTTGTCGGGGCCAATATCAATCCCAATGGTTTGTTTGAATTAACTTCCTTCTTGTGGTCCAACTCCATGTAATTGGAGTCAATCGATAGTAAGTACGACAATAAGGGAACTAAAAACGCCAATGTTTTCCCTGAACCGGTTTCTGCAATACCTACAACATCCCTTTGAGAAAGTGCCAAGGGTATGGTAGTACGTTGAATTGGAGTAGGATTTTCGTAACCGAAAGATTCAATCATCAACTTTATCAATTGCGAAGGTATGGAAGACTCTTTCCATGTTCTGAGTGGGTTCGCTATGTCTGAACCTTTGGATGAAATATTATAATCTTCTCTAAATATTCTCCAGTCTCGAGCAGTCATCTGTTCTAGCGGCTTGTCAGACCAATGTGAATCACTAATGGCTGTTTTGACATCCAAATTATTACTGTCGTCTTCGTACGTTACTAATGGTTCGTATTGACTGGAAGTATCATCTTCAAGTTTCCATTCAAAATTGAATTTGGCCTTACCAACAGTCTTAGCACTATGCGAAGAACCAGATACAAACTTTGGTTTCTTCAGTTGTCCTTCTAGCTCATCCTCAGGATCGGGTACTTGTATTCTCTTCACTGTCTCGTGTCTCAGATGAAGCCTGTTCACTAGCTCTATCTTTTCATTGTGTTTCTTCTCTAAGGCCAACTTTTTTCTCTCTTTCTTGGTCAAGAATCTCGGCTTTACAAGTGACGACTGGCTCGAAGAGTCTATGAGGTCTTCTACAGAAACAGGCCTCATTATGGGTGAAAGGAGTGGCACTGGTAGCTGTAAGGTTTGGGATGGCATCAGATATATGTTGCTGGTGGTATGCAGGATCAACAAAACTGCATATAGATAAGGTAGTACTGACAGTGGGAGTTCATTCAGCTGGACTCCCTATCTGTCTTCTTTCTGACCAGTGAGATGGTAGTTACGAAAGTAGCACAGGAGTAGGAGCTTCATGTGAGCGCGATACATTCTTCTCCGAGTTATACCTAGTAATTTATGCATTCTGCAGAAGTTAGAGGTTTAATCAAGACAGAGAGTGATGAAGCACTGTCTTCAATTCACGCAATTTACTGTATTCGGGGGTAATGTCGAGAGTCAGAGTGGATTTATGGAACGAGCACAGCCTTCCAATGTCAATGCTAAAGAATAGAAACGCTTGTAGAGTCAAGCCGTGACAATAAAGGCTTGATCTCTATTTTTGGAATTCTGGCGTGGTATTTCCAACGGTGCGGAAGCACGGTAACTAAATCTGCCGCAGGCTAGAAATTTCATGCTTCTCTACGAATGGACCAGATACAAATATCGAACATGCACTGTTTCGAAGGTTGAAGAGCAAATAAATTACTGTGAGGTGGCCAAGTGAATCATCTAATTACAGAAGTGAGGCACTAGAGATATCCGCTGAATAGAGAGTAAACTGGCATGGCTTGCTCATCTTCACCAATGAAGGCTCATAATTGAACCTTTTGCACAGTGTGCAGATTTGACAGAAATCGTGACAGAAGACCAAACTTTAATTTGCAATTTATGACACTACAATAAGGCTCTAATTTTAGCTATTATTCTTCTCAGACGCATCACATTCATAACTATGATCAGGCTTCTGAGTCCTAGTCCATGGAGTATTAGGCTCTGTTTAAACGCTTCGCCCAATACCAGCCAGAGAATGCAACCTATTTTTACTTCTATTTTTTTTTTTTTTTTATTTTTTTTTTTTTATGTAGTGCTCTTTCACTTTAGGGCTATAACAATTCAGAGATGTTCCTTTGGAGTCTATTCTAAAGGTATATAACCGTTGCACAGTGGCTTCGATGTTTCTTCTCTCTCATTCTAGGAACTGAAAATTCGACTTTCTCTTATTTTTTCTTTATCCTTTGACTAGTCATCGATACCTTGCTCTGGTTTTTCTTTGTAATGAAAGTGTCTTACACCCTATTCTACATAGTGCATATTAGCGTATCCATGGCCCATTCCGAACAAGCAGATAAAATATGGTCTATTTCACAATCTATAATACCTATAAGCTCTAAAAATTACTTTTCAAGTGAAACACCACTTCCAGAATCAGAAGACCAGATGATTTCAATCCATAGCTCGACATCATTAGAATTAGCATATTCCCTAGTCGAGCGAAGTCCGAATAGTAGTGACACAGGTACAGATCCAAAAAGGTTCAGTTCAAGAGCGTCTTCATTGAGCCTAGTTTTCGGAGTTTTGATCCTCACCATCATATGAGCCTAGTTTTCTGGGTTTTGATCATCACCATCATATGAGCCCTTACTCTATGTAGGAACTACTTGGTGTTCCTTCCACGATAAATATAACCGCCAACCAATGCAATTACCAAAACACACATTCCACAGGTGATTTTAAAAGTGGCATGGTAACATCCAGAACCTTTGGAACAAATGTAAACTTTATTTGAAGGATCCCAAGTTACCGAGTTAGAATCATAGACATATCCGAAAATTTTAGACATTAGAGTTAACCCAATTGTTGTACTTGTATATAAACATCCCCAAATAAAACTATAGTACTTCATATTGAAAATGTCTGAAACGATAACAGGGTAGCAAGCAAAAGTAAATCCGTAGGCAAAGCCAACTGTGCACGAAGCTACCAGTAAGTAAATGTTAGCACCTCCCAAGGTTTTAAATGTACTTTCAACGTCTAATAATTGCAAGGAATGGCCCACCAACATCACAAGAGTTCCAAGAATTAATATCCAGTGTCTTTGAACTTTCAAGACTTTGTAAAAGTAGTCAGATGTGGGACCAGACGACAATCTACCAATGAAAGAAAATATGGCAATCAACGATACGTGAAGTGCCTGCAATTTCTGCAAGCTTACCACATCTGAAGTAATTTCATTATGGGTGTAGTAATAGTAAATAGCCTTAAGGATATAACCGACCGAGTATATGTACATTTGACCAAAACCTTGAGTAATGGAGAATATTAAGTAATGGAGCCAAAATGTAGGATGGAAGAGTGACCCCTTCAAATTTAAGGTCTTCACAACGTCAACATCGGGCTGACTCTTCAAATTGGTGTCGCTAACAACACTCTCGTAACCAGAAGATTCGTCAGCTAGCAATTGGCTAGACTCACCTTCCACCTGTTCTTCAATATCTGATAGGAGAACTTCATTATAGTGACCATCGACTCTAATAAAGACAAACCCAATAGAAGTCAAGACCGCACAGGAGATTGACAAGAATTTTATAAAGTCACCGGTGCTTAAAAAGCTCGAAACAACCAGGTACAATAAACTGGAAATCGCAAATGAAGCAATAGTTACACTTTGTGCAGAGCCTTTAAAGTCGGGGAAATTCAAAGCTACGGCCTTCAAAGAACTAAAGTATCCAGCTACAGATCCAAATCCAACACAAAGCATCGCAAATAAGAGTCCTATGAACGTACTACCCTCACCTAATTGGTAACTCAAGTAAACCAAAAAGTACCCCAATGTAAGGCACAAGAAACTGATCAAAATTGGAATTTGCGTCCCATATCTGTCTGTAAGCAAGCCAGAAAGTAATCCACCGATGGCACCACCGAGAGTAGCAGTGATATTCAAGTTCACAGTGGAGGAAGCATCAAGTTTACATCTATCGGCAAGTTGAGTGCCAAATACCGAGTATGCGAATAACGTCCCTGAAGCAAAGGATACTGGGACGGTAGCAAACAAAACACACCAACGGTTTGTGGGTGGTAAGTACCTGTCCAACTCCTTAATTGCAGTTTGAAGGAACATGGCTTTTCTGGTTCTTCTATATAGCAGAATAAATAAATAAAATTGGTAAATACCAAAACTGTGATTTCAAATCAAAGTGTCAAATAAATAAGTAAATATTAAGAGAGAAGTAAAGACGTTAAAGCAACAAATTTATACAAAATAATCGTATAATGTCTAAGTTATATGCCTCTATATGCAGATACTCACTCTATGTCCTCGATGTTATCTAGAATAATATCCACATCCCCTTCCACTACTAGCTTAAAACCGTTGTGGCTTCTCTGGAACCCAACCAGAGGGATAAGGTATTGGGTTTTCTCCTGCATGTATGCCGCTGATAGCGGAATTATGTACCTTGTCCTGCAGGTAACTGTATTAATCTCGTACTTTTCTCAGCTCTCTCTCAAGCACCCAAGTCGTGTGCGATTTGTATGTAAATGACCAAAAATCAAATGGTTGTACTGCGAATTTTCCACTTCGACGAAACTTTTTGTCGACGCAGAAAATGAAAAAAAATGAAAAAAGTGAAAAAAAACTCCAGACTTCACCAAGTTAGTTACTAGTTTATTCTACAGTAGAAACCCAATAAACATGCCAGTTGATCCAGAAAAGTTAGCCAAGTTACAAAAGGCCTCTTCCAAGAAGGTTGGTGGTTCAAGAGTCAAGGCTAAGAAGAACGTTAAGTCTGAACAAGATGACACAAAGTTACTCTCCACTTTACAAAAGTTAAACGCTCAAAAGATTGAAGCTATCGAAGAAGCCAACTTTTTCAGAGAAGACGGTAAGGTCTTACATTTCAACAGAGTTGGTGTTCAAGGTGCCGCACAATCCAACACCTTTGCCTTCACTGGTTACCCACAAGAAAAGGATGTCACTCAATTAATCCCACAAATCTTACCTCAATTGGGAGCTGAAAACTTAGAAATCTTGAGACAATTAGCTGAACAATTGCAAGCCGGTAAGGCTCCTTTGGATGCTTCAATTGGTGCCGACGGTGCCACTGGCGGTGAAGACATTCCAGACTTAATTGAAGGTGAAAAGTTTGACGAAGAAGTTGAGTAAATTACTCTCAACTCGCACACTGTAACGAAATCGATAAAAGTTTAGGGTTACACATAGTCATATTTGAATCGAAAGGTAATTTATATAAGAAGGTAGGAGATGGTTCCACACTAGGGCGTAGCTCGAATCTTTTTTCTTTTTTCCTTTTTTTATATATTTTTACACATAAATAAATATCACATAACAGAACTTTAAATCGATCTCCATTCTTTCTTTAATGAGTTCACTTTTCTTGTCTATTTCTCTGTAGCTCATTCAATGTAGAACGTCCATCTAACGTAACTACAGTGCGTAGGAGATTTTTCAAAATGTGGAGATGTGCAAGGTGCAGGAACTCCAATGATCTTCACATTCTTTAGAGGTTGACAGTTGAGTAGTTAGGAGATGATATGCCTGAGCGGGACAGAGCGAGTCAAAATGAGCGATATCCTCAATTGGGTTCCAGATGTTGGTGAAAGCTGCTTGGAAGCGATAAAAATGATAACTTCTTAATGATATTTCACTACACACCAAATTTTACTAGTACCACCACTTGGGCTTACACTCAAAAGTTATAATGTATAATATTTTTATGACTATGAGGAATATAAAACAAGATTGCTCATAGTTCAAATAGATGCTTGATGGAAGGTAACTCCATGCCTTAACATGAATGAAAGAATTGAAAGAAACGACTTGAAACACATTTGAAAGTTCTTGATGCCTTAAGGCTTAAAGTAAAACAGCAACGAGTGCAGCGAATGTTCCTACCATTGGTACTACCATGCGGGCTCCTGTCCCTTCAGAAGTTGTTGTGATGCTGGGAGTTTTCTCACCATCGTCAATTGCAACATCAGGAGTAGGAGTAGGAGTGGTTGAACCATCTTCAGGGTTTTCAGGAATGACTGGGTCCTCTGGGTCCACTGGATCCACTGGATCGACTGGGTCCTCTGGGTCCACTGGATCCACTGGATCCACTGGATCGACTGGGTCCTCTGGGTCCACTGGGTCAACAGGGTCCTCTGGGTCCTCTGGGTCCTCTGGGTCCTCTGGGTCCACAGGGTCCTCTGGGTCCACTGGATCCTCTGGGTCAACAGGGTCCTCTGGGTCCACTGGATCCACTGGGTCAACAGGGTCCTCTGGGTCAACAGGGTCCTCTGGGTCAACAGGGTCCTCTGGGTCAACAGGGTCCTCTGGATCCACTGGATCGACTGGGTCCACTGGATCGACTGGGTCCTCTGGTTCCACTGGGTCAACAGGGTCCTCTGGTTCCACTGGGTCCTCTGGTTCCACTGGGTCAACAGGGTCCTCTGGTTCCACTGGGTCCACTGGATCAATAGGGTCGACAGGATCGACGGGGTCCACTGGGTCAACAGGGTCCTCTGGTTCCACTGGGTCCACTGGATCAATAGGGTCGACAGGATCGACGGGGTCCAC